CTAGTGTATACATGAGAGTACGTCTGGTTAATTTTTGCATATGATGATGATGATGATGATGATAAGAGAATGGGTACTGTATAGCTACTATGTAAAAGATTCACTAAAAAGGCTGTGGACCGACATAGAAAGTAAAGTTGCTATTCTTTTTTCCACATTTTCAGTCTGTGTGATGCCCAGCACATGTGAAGGGGTGCAAATGTTAAAAATATTGTTTTGTTGTTGTTGAATTGCAGAATAAACTCAAGACTGCTTTGGAGCCTCTACAGAAGGATCTGAAAGTCTTAGAAGAAACAAAACACAGCTTTGACAAAACAGCGGCTCACATTAAGGTGAAGCATCATCTTGAATTGTGAAACATGTTGCTGAGGTCATGTTTCTGATGAGTGTCCACTTCTCCTGTAGGTGGTAAATGCTTGTAGATCATCTGTTAGAGTTTGTGTTTCCTAATGGTCTCTCATTCCAGACGCAGGCCCAGCACACAGAGAGGCAGATAAAGGAGGAGTTTGAGAAGCTTCACCAGTTTCTAAGAGATGAAGAAGCAGCAAGGATAGCTGCACTGAAGGAGGAGAGGAGCAGAAGAGTCAGATGATGAGGAGGAAGATTGAGGAGATGAATGGAGAAATATCAGCTCTTTCTGACACAATCAGACACATAGAGAAGGAAATGGAAGCTGAGGACGTTCTGTTCTTACAGGTAACAAACACTTATTTGTTCCAAAGAACAGATCAGACCAAGAGTTTTGGTGTAAAAGAGAAAGATTCTTATGAAGATTATGAAGATCCACCCCACCCTGCCCTTGTATAATATTGAATAAACTTGTGATTTCCATTTGTTTTTTGTTTTATGTCCCTCTTAGAACTCTGAGGTCACATTGAGCCAGTAAGTAATAGTCATTCTACCCTTTTGGTCAGATTTTTTTAAATTAAATGTTCAAATCTACTGTATTTTTGGAAAAATGAAAGCATTTCAATGACATTATAGTGCATAAGGTTATTATTATTTAAATGACAAAGCAATAGGAGTAGAAATATTTATTTGATACTTTCTTGTATTTTCAGAGCTCAGCTCACGCCAAAGGATCCAGAGAAGATATCAGGAGTTCTGATCAACGTTTCTAAACACCTTTCCAACCTGAAGTTCAGAGTGTGGGAGAACATGCAGGAGATTCTCCAGTACAGTAAGTTCTGTTTCTCTTAGGGCTGATCTACCTGAATAAAGCATTGAGTAAGAATAAGTAATAAGTGCATATATGACCCAAAGGCATAACAAGTCATGTCCAGGCCTGTGTGCATGTAAAAAGTCTTCATTTAGCATAAATTCTGACTGCATTAGTGGCATGACCAGGTCCAGGCCATTGGATATAGCCCTGAACAATTGTTTTTTTCAGGCTGGAGATGGGTTTACACTTCCTTGGCCTACTTAACAAAGTTACTAGATAGACAGTATAACTAAAATGGTTAAAGCAGAGCTGTAGATGGTTATGCAAAGGTTTAAACATGCCAGCTAACTGCATCTGACTACTTTTGTGCACATTGCACACCAGTCAAACAGCCAAAAGCTCATATTACCAACTAACAATAAACAGCAAATATAATGACACACCTTATTGCAAACAGGAGAAACAGAGGTTTGTCTGTGCCACTGGTACTAATGGTGAGGTCTATCACTGTCACAGTGTGTTTTATTTAACTATGAATTTTATTATTATTAAAGTGTTTTCCTGTAGAGGATGTGTTAACATACTTTCACATCACATGAGGTATTCAAACGATTGTATTGAACTCTTGTATCGTTTTCAGAACTTGTATTGAACATAATGCCACACAGCTTGGCTTTATAAATGATCAAGCTTTAACTCACTAGAACTAAACCACAAACTTAGCGTTTCATCGTGTTTCATTGTGTTCTCTCTCCTCAGCCCCTGTTACTCTGGACCCCAACACTGCACATCCAGACCTCCACCCATCTGATGATCTCACTGCTGTAGAATTTAGAAAGCACGGACCATCACTTCCTGATAATCCAGAGAGATTTGATAAGTGTGCATGTGTTCTGGGTTCTGAGGGTTTTGACTCAGGGACACACTGCTGGGATGTTGAGGTTGGAGACAGTGACTACTGGGAACTAGGTGTGATAACAGAGTCTGTACAAAGGAAAGGAATCTCTTTCAGGGATTCAGTTTGGAGTCTGGAGTACAGTAAAAGCAGTGGCACATTCTTCGTACGTGGCCCAAGAGAGCCAGATCACTGCGCCTCATCTAAAGAGCAGCTGCAGAGGGTCAGAGTGGAGCTGGACTGGGACAGGGGGAAAGTGACATTCACTGACCTTACAAACTGTACACAACTGCACACAATTACAGACACATTCACTGATAGAGTTTTACCGTTTTTCTGTAACTGGGATGACTGTGCTCTGAAGATCTTACCAGTGAAGACGTCAATAATGGAGGAACAGCACAGTGCAGGTTAAAGTCACAGTAAAGTGCATTTTCTTCCATAATATGACATTTTTCTGACTGAAACAGGATGTTTGGGCAGGAAATAGTGTATAGGTGGGTCTTGATTTCATCCACTGGGAACAAAGTTGTTGCTTTTAAATACAGATGTGAAGGCTTCAGTCATAACGTGGAATTCTCCGAAATTCTACTCTATTCAAAATGTTTGGTTTAAGGCAGCGTGCCTGTATCCACATTATTATGGGGAGAGGGAACAACCAACGTCTATGTTTCAGTTTGCTAAGATACTGTACTTGGTATTGTCATTAACTAGCCAGTTTGCTAAATAATAGGTGGAATCATGATGTTATATTACTAGGAAATGTCAATAACTTGAGCAGAAAATGGTGTTGTTGTAACACCTCTACTTCCCCAGCTAATGCTTAACCTTAACTAATGCTTTCATCATAGTGAATTAATGCATAGAGTAATAATTAACTTGTCAGGAAATAATGAAGAATATACATCAATAAAGAACTGAGCCATAGGAATGCCCATTGATAATGACACTTGCTAAGTAATAATATATTTCTTACATTTCAATGATTTTATATATTAATTAACATCCTTTTTATAATGTGTAATATTAGTTCAGAAATTGTGTAGGATATACAAATTACAGACTAATAACCAATAGAATAGTCTAAAGTAGAAGTATAGTAGAGGTAGAAGGAAAATCAATGTCCTGTATGCAACATCAGCTGTTTAATAAAATGTAGTAATACAACTTCTCGATCACAGTGTGCTATTGATTTTAGTCAGTAATGATGTCCCTGGAAGAAAAAAAAAATAGGATATATTTCCGAGCCACACTTGTTATAAAGGAATAAGCCTTTTCTGGGTGATACTTTTCTAACAAAGCATTACTACGCTGCCTATATAAGATGTTCCTTGAACATGTTTGAAGTGGTGTGTTTAGTTTTGTTAAGTCCTCAGATGAGAAAACTGCTTAATAACTTTGTTAACATGTCTGTCTGATGCATCTTTTTTTTTCTTGCCCCTCAAGATCTTTACACACTCCCATAAAAGATGCTATAGGAGCATGGTAACACTTTCTTTGAATAGCCTACAGTAGATACTCTGTTTATTTTCACCTTATCTATGACTTGCGTTTAAGTGAATATCTATTGCATTCACCTTAATTTTACCTCACCCTGAACTGTACACTCACCCTAACCTTACCTTAATCTAAAACCATCCAATTAATCAAACCCTGGCCTTAAACCTTATCTTGGTGCTAATCCTAACCATACCACTAATGCTTTATCAGATAGTTTGTTCATAACTTGATTTGTAGAGTCTCTATTGGGTGTATCCAAATGAAATGGTACCTACATGTTTATGCCTATATATACAATTTAATGGTGTTTTGTAAAATTGTTTAGTGCTCTGTTGCTTTTGTTTAAGGTTTATACAGTTTATACCAGGGCTGGAGTCTTGCACAGTTTGGTGGTTTTCAAGTCTCTCGTTAAGATCAGGAAAATGTGTGTGTGTGTTTGTTTGAGAGTGCTCTTCCTTTTAGCTAACCTTTGTCATTTTCCTTTAGAGCAGCAATTCTGTGCAGTAAATTTTATAATAATTTGATATTTAGTCTCTCCAACTGGGAGAAAACAACAAAAATAAACACAATAAAATAAACAGTGAAATACAGTATATGCATTCTTGTGAATTTGTGCTTACAAAGGAGAAAAATCTCTGAAGCAGACAGTTTGTTACTCTTTATATAATCAATCTTTCCCCATAGTTTAGATGTTTAATTTGTAATAACAGGATCATGTTTGCTGAAATGAACAAAAATGGGTAATTTACAGAAATTGATCATCTCAATCAATTAAAAGCTCAGGTTATTAATGAACTGCTGCCATCTAGTGTAGAAAGCACACAGTTAGAATAGAACATCTGACTGACTCCTCCTTTTTCAAAGCTCCTCTTCCTCTACACCTCCTCTACCTGCACAAGTATCACCATCAGTCTACTCACAAAATAATAATAATAATAATAATAATAATAATAACAACAACAACAATAATAATAGTAATTATAAGCAGTCCATGCTAAGGTGCTGACTTCAAACTGATTTGGACGCCTAAAATGCTGTAGGTATAAAAGGTACATACATGTAAATGTTGTGGTTGTCATGACATCACAATGAATTCTGAATTTTTATTGGGTAGTTAACCTGTCACTCCACCACTTACAGATGCAACAGATAGTGGTCTAGTCAAACAAGATTAGAAGAGAAAACTGCATCTTCATCATGAGAGTGCCTGGCTACTTTACTTCTATCATTGTGGATGGTCATATATATTTATCATTAATCATATCTGCATTTTCGTTGCTATGAAAGTAGGTATTGTCAAGAATATCTATGTTAAATGCTCAAAGAAGTGTGGCTCTTCAAAAAAGATATGAGAAAGTAGCACTGTGTACCTGGTTTTGGAATGTTTTGGGAAGCACATAGAATGATGCACCTGACTTTTCAAAGCTCCTCCCCCTCTACCTGTTGGAGGAAGTGAATTTTATACTGTCACTCTGATCTTTCTTCATTCTGCACTCACTTCACTCAGAAACACCAATGAGGAGCTTTTAAACAGTGACTGTATGTGTTTGTTTCTTGATGTGTGATTCTGAAAGGAGCTAAAACTCACTCAGTGGGTTGAAGGGCTACGGTGTCTGATTCTCAACTGTGCTGCTCTGATCATTACAGACGTCCTAAAAGAGAAAGTGGAGTTTGGACTAAAGGAGCCATTACAGAGAAACAGCACAGCAGCAGTTGGAGGAAATGGCTGCTAGAAACCCTCTTTCAGAAGAAGACTTTTCGTGTCCTGTGTGCTGTGAAATCTTCAGGGACCCTGTTGTTCTGTCGTGCAGCCACAGTGTGTGTAAAACCTGTCTGCAGAAGTTCTGGGAAACTAAAGAATCTCAGGAATGTCCAGTTTGTAGAAGACGATCATCTAAAGATAAGCCTCTTTCCAACCTCACACTGAAGAACCTCTGTGAGTCTTTTCTAGAGAGCAGGAGTCAGAGATCTTCAGCAGGGTCTGAGGTGCTCTGCATTCTGCACAATGAGAAACTCAAACTCTTCTGTCTGGATGATCAGCAACCTGTGTGTGTGGTGTGTCATCTATCAAAGACGCATAAAAATCATGACTGCTGTCCAGTAGATGAAGCTGTGACCGACTTTAAGGTAAGACACTTATTCCGTTGAAGTTCATGTTCAGATGACTCTCAGGTGGATCTGAATTAGAGGGTTTTGCACAATCTTGTGGAGTTCATGGCAGCTCAAGTGTCATTAAAGCAAAAGAGTCACATACTCTACCAATTACTAGGAAATTCTGAAATTCATGTTTGAATTTGGATGTACAATGACTTTTCTCTCAAACTGTTAAGCAGATAATATATTTTGTAATAAAAAAGTTGTATTAAATCACTTGTGGTCTCAGATTTTGGACACCACTGTATGCTAGTTATGTATGATCTCAGCTAAACCACTACTTCATTGCAGGATAAACTCAAGTCTGCTTTGGAGCCTCTACAGAAGAATCTGAAAGTCTTAGAGGAAGCTAAACAAGACTATGACCAAACAGCAGCTCACATTAAGGTGAAACATCATCTTGAACTGTAAAACATGTTTCTAAGGTCATGTTTCTGATGAGTGTCCACTTCTCCTGTAGGTGGTAAATGCTTGTAGATCATCTGTTAGAGTTTGTGTTTCCTAATGGTCTCTCATTCCAGACGCAGGCCCAGCACACAGAGAGGCAGATAAAGGAGGAGTTTGAGAAGCTTCACCAGTTTCTAAGAGATGAAGAAGCAGCAAGGATAGCTGCACTGAAGGAGGAAGAGGAGCAGAAGAGTCAGATGATGAGGAGGAAGATTGAGGAGATGAATGGAGAAATATCATCTCTTTCAGACACAATCAGACACATAGAGAAGGAAATGGAAGCTGAGGACGTTCTGTTCTTACAGGTAAGAATCACTTTACATTTGCTTTTGCTAAACACATTTTAGCACACATAATTCCAGATTTGGCAATTTGCTTCAGAGGAGGCACCCACTGAATGTGTTAGAGTAAAATGATAGAGCCGTTATGCATGCATCCAGCAATTACAACAAACCACTAATGGGCATGATGAGGAATTTAGAAATGTTGTCATTAAACTTGCTTTAAGATACCTCATTAAAGCCAATTCAGGTTTTAAGTAGATTTTTCTTTGTTATCCCTTCAGAAATTTCGGTCCACAATAATACAGTAAGTAAACATCACACAACGACATGATATCTGACCTTTAAGTATTATTTATTGAACTGCTAAGTATATTATACTACATATTTACCCTAACTTACCTGTTCAGAAGGCAATGAGAACTGAATATATTTATTAGGGTATGAATTCTACAAGATGCTGAATGTGTGTTGTACCATGCACAAATGATTGTGTTGTGTATATGCTGCAATATTGGAAAAACAGATCTTCATCATCATCTTACCAGGCATCCTTTTTTCCACTCCTAAATAAGCTACTTGTAATGCTCATGTGCCCCCTAGAGACATGCTTTGTTTTTTGCTGACAACATTAGCACCCGGCATTCAGCTGTTGTTTGAGACAAGTCCAGTAGGAGGTATTTTGAGAAGATTGTTGTTTGATTGTTTGAGGTGATTTTTAGGTAAATACTAATTTGTTGTTAATGTATTGCTGAGGGGTTGCTATGGTATGCTTGGTGCTCATGAGTGTTTTGCTATGGTGTTCCAGGTGGTTGCTAGGGTGTTACTAGGTGGTTGTTTAAATGTTTCAGGTGGTTGCCTGGGTGTTGTTATGTAGTTATCATGGTATCCCAGGTGGTTCCGAGGTTTTTTCTAGGTTATTACTATGGCATTCCACTTGGTTGCTAGAGTGTTGCTAGGGTATTCTGGTGATTTAAGAGAAGTTCTGACATTCATACCTATAGGAAAAAGTCTGAACATAAACTTTTTATACAGGGGAACCATACATCCAATCCACAAGCTGTATACAAGCCCACCACTCCCGATCAGACTTAACATCCTGGAATTCATTCTGTGTCGATATTTTGAAAACTGTGGGACAAGCTGTGTTGCACTGCACAGCTAATCAACAGTCCTTGTTAGTAGTGCTTATACTAGCAGCTTAGTTTTTCACAAAACCTTGTACCTTCCAAAATGCTTGCAAAGCACATGTTTTCACTGAATGTTTTATGGAACAATGTCACATTTCCATTGATGCAGTGGCCTAAGCCCTCCCTGGATCTCAACTTACCAATTGTCTTTGATATAAGGTTGCTGTTCACAGCCATACTGTGCAGCCATTTAATCTGCAGCAACTGCAGCAATGCCATCATTTCTGCATGGTAAAACCTTCCTGCATAACACATACAGCATCTTGTAGAATTCACACCCTGCTAGACTAGTTTTTAAACAACTATGTACTGTTATTTTATTTTCAGAGTTCAGTGCATGCCAAAGGATCCAGAGAAAACATGGGGAGCTCTCATTAATACTGCAAATCATATTTCTAACCTGAAGTTCAGAGTCTGGGAGAAAATGAAGGCAATTTTGAAATGCAGTATGTGCTATTTTCTTGTATCTCCTTCTCTATGAATTTCTCAGATGCTATTTGGTTCTAGTTTAAACCACCAGTAAAGATGGACCAAGTTTAATCTGGGTGTTGAAAAAAACATGGCTTTTGAAAAAAATAAACAAAAACAGAATGTTTTAGGCACTGACCAATTATTTTTGTGTTGTCATGAAGACAGATTCTATTGAAAGCAGTTAAATTTTTTATCACAACAAATCTGCCCATTAAATGAAAATCACACATTTTTGAAGTACTATAAAAACGAAAATATCATTGCTTAATACTTAAAATTATCAAGCCACTTACAATTATTTGTAATACAAGAACAAACCATTACATGGCTAAAAGTATGTGGACACTATACCTATTTGAGCATGTTCTGTGCAGTTGGTCTCCCTTTGCTACAATAACAGCCTCCACTTTTCTGGGATGGTTTGACACTAGATTTTAGAACATGGTTGCATGGATTCACTTCCCCACAAAGTTGGAAGTTCATAGTTCTCTAGACTGTGACTGCATGCTGTAGCATTAAGACGGGAACTAATGGGCCCAACACAAACCCTGTAAAACAACCAGAGGACCACTATTCATCCTTCATTTCATTTTTCAGTTGGCATTACTCATTCTGGCAGCTTTCTACTAGTATCCACCAAAACCAGATTGGCCTGTCAGACTACCAGATGGTAAAGCATGATTTATCAGTATGGCAGTGGCTTGCTTTACACCATTCTAGGCAATCCTTGGCATTGCAAGTAGTGATCTTAGGCTTGTGAGAGCTGCTCAGTCATGGAAACCCAATCCTTGAAAATTAGTGTGCTGACATTGGTTCTAGAAACAGTAGTGGGTGTTGCAAATAAGGATAGATGATTTTTACACGTCCCAGTCTGTGAATTTACATAGCTACAGCTTCACAGCCACAGTTGACAGGGCATTTGAGCTCAGCAGGGCAAAAGTTGGACAAACTTACTTGTTGAAATGGCAGCATATGACAGTGCATTGTTGAACCCATTCCTCTACCAGTGTTTGTCTGTAAATATTGCTTGATTTTATGCACCTGTTAGCAGTGGGTATGGTTGAAACCCACTATTTAGAAAGGATGTCCATGTTTTACAGGCAAAAAATAAAAAATAAAAAAATAAATAAATTGACCCTAGTATTTTTTATTGCTATTATTTTTACATATAATCAAGCTAGTGTAAACAAATTCTATGTCATTATGTCCATCTATCTATTTTCACTTAGCTACAGCTCAGTAATGAATTTTTAAAATGGACATCATGGGGGTCATCAATTCTGTTCCTGGAGGACTGGAGTCCAGCACAGTTTTGTGATTTTTACACAACTTTCATAAACTAAACTTTTTTTAAATTTATTTTTAAGAATTTTTTAGACATCTTAGAAAGAAATGGAGAAATAGAAATAAAGTCATCTTTTGGGAGACATGAGGTTTTATTCCGACAGCAACAATATAGAACTACGCACAAACACGCACACACTTTCTAAACCACTTATCCTTATGGGTCGTGGGTTGTGCTGGAGCCTGCGTCGTTAGGCGTAAGGCAGGAAACACCTTGGACATGTTATATCTATGAATGAATATAAACAATAACAGGAAATATCATAGAAATTATCATAGATCATAGAAATAGATACAATTGCAAGTGACATACAGTTGCAGTCAATTGAGTATAAAGAATAACCACCATATTAAAAGCTCTTTAACAGAATACCTGTTGACAAAATAAACCATTTACAGAAATGAGAGAAAAACATGATGTGTCATTGTGTTCTCTCTCCTCAGCCCCTGTTACTCTGGACCCCAACACTGCACATCCAAAACTCCACCTGTCTGATGACCTCACTGCTGTAGAACTAAAGAAGCAGGAACTGCTGCTTCCTGATAATCCAGAGAGATTTGATGAATATGAGTGTGTTCTGGGTTCTGAGGGTTTTAACTCAGGGACACACTGCTGGGACGTCCAGGTTGGAGACAGTGATAGCTGGGAACTGGGTGTGATACCAGAGTCTGTAACAAGAAAAGGAGACTCTTTCTGGAGTACTGTGTGTAGTCTGGGCTACAGTAAAAGCAGTGGTGCATACACCATATACTGTCCAGAGGCATCAGATCATGATCTCACACTTGAGGAGAAGCTGCAGAGGGTCAGAGTGCAGCTGGACTGGAACAGGGGGAAAGTGACCTTCACTGATCTTCTAACCAACAAACACGTGCACACTATAACACACACTTTCAGTCGGACAGTTTTCCCATTTTTCTCTAATGGGAGTGTTGTATGTCCTCTGAAGATCTTATACTAGTAACTCAAGAGTAACATACAGTGCTGTATTTTTTGATGTTTCAGATCTTCCATCTAAGGTAAAGACAACATGAGTAAACAGAAAATTAAGCTTTTAAACAATTATTCCATTTATTGAAGATAAAGATTGTACAAAACAGGTATCACCCACGTGAAAAAGTAACTGCCCCCTAAACCTTATAACTGGTTGTGCCACCTTTGGCAGTAACAACCGCAATCAAATCTTTGCAATAACCTGAGATGAGTGTTTTTCATCGCTGTAGAGGAACCTTTAATTTGGCTACATTGGAGGGTTTTTGAGCATGAACTGCCAATTTAAGGTTTTTCAGAGCTGGACTTGCTTATGTGCGTCGGATCATTGTCCTGCTGCATAACGGTACTTGATCTTCAGTTCACAAACTGGCAGGTGGACATTCTCCTTCAGGATTTTCTGATAGAGAGCAGAATTCATAGTTCCATCAATTATGACAAACCGTCCAGGTCCAGAAGCAAAGCAGCCCCAGACCATCACACTACCACCACCATGTTTCACTATTGGTATGATGTTCTTATGGTGGAATTCAGTGTTAGCTTTATGTCAGATGTAACAGGATTCATGTCTTCCATAAAGTTCCATCTTTGACTCATCAGTCCCCAGAATATTGTCTCAAAGTCTTGGGTGTCATCTAGATGTTTTTTGGCAAATGCGAGACAAGACTTTGTGGGGCTTTTTTTTGGTCAGCAGTGGTTTGCTCCTTGCAACTCCCCTATGGATGCCATTTTTGCCCAGTGTCTTTCTTATTGTGGAATCATGGACATTGACCTTAACTCAGGCAAGTGAGGCCTGCATTTCTTTAGATGTTTATCTGGGTTCTTTTGTGACCTCCTGGATGAGTTGTCAGTGCACTTTTGGTGAAATTTTGGTCGGCTGGCCACTTCTGGAAAGGTTCCAAGTTCCAAGTTTTCTCTATTTGTGGATAATGGATCTCACTGTGGTTTGCTGGAGTCCCAGAGCCTCAACTTAATAACCCTTTCCAGACTGATAGTTTTAATTGGTTTCACATCTGTGTTTAAATCTCTTTAGAACTTGACAACATATGCTGCTTTTTGAGACCTTCTAGCCTGCCTCACATTGTTAAACTGCTGATTAGACTCAACAGGTCTAGGTTTTTTATTTAGGTTATGTTTGTCTAACACTAAACATAATGTGATGATCTTAAACATTCAAGTGTGACAAATATGCAAAAATAGAAGAAATCGGGAAGGAGCAATTACTTTTTCACAGCACTGTAATTCATTTTAATACTACATAACATAACCATCATATTGGTCTAAAACATATGAAATATGACAAAATGTTTTGAAACACATCAGCTCACCACATTAGAATGAATTCATATCTTTACATTTTTACATATTTAAGTGTTCACTGCATAGGATATGTTAACTTAGTTTCACTTAGAAAATCAACAAAATATTTTATTTGACCAGGGTTATTGAAACCTTTTGTATACAACTGTATTTCAGAAGCAGCATAATAAAGTTAGGTCCATAAATATTTAGATAAAGTGATAGCAAAGTGATTATTTGTTTAGCTGTCTATCCCAGCATACTGACGTTTATATTAAACAATAAATATGAGCTCACAGTGTAGGTGATTCCTACACTGTTCACCTGATTTGGATGCAAATATCAAATTGAAGCGAAAATTCTGCACTTTGAGATCATATTTTTTTCTACTCCAGTATACTGTAGAAGAGGGCTAAAATAGCAATAGTTTTGTCAATGTACAAATATTAATGGATCTGACTATATCTGTGTAATCGGAGTTTTGTAATTCTTGAGCACTGTAGTTCAAGGTAGTTATTTGCAGTGTCCTCTATATACATGTAAAACTGTACTATACTATTACGCTATGTATTTCATGTGTTTCATAATGACGTTACATGAAAACAAAAGAAAATATGTGTGTATGTGTTCCCCTCATCTTTGTTCCACTAAGCCTCCAGTCTACCCTTTGTATCTCTTTTTATCAGTGGCTTCTCCTGTTGGTTTGTAGTGTTTGCACCTATGTATAGTTACCCCTAAGAGTATATATAGCTCTTTGTGTTTATCCTTCCATCACACAGCATCTGGTTTTTCTAGTGCAATTCTAAGCTGTGTTTATGGTGCAATTAAAGTTCCTTGTTTCCTGTATTTTTTCCTTTAATCTAGTTTTACACTCACATGTTCCCATTTTTCACCCTTTTACCTGTCTGCCTGTGCTTTAAACCCTGATTTCTATAATGAATATAATCTTCACCCTTGTTAATGAAACTGACTCTACATCTACTCTACATCAAAAATCAAACGTAAATTTGTTGACCCACATATTTTTTTTTCCATTGTTTGAACACAGAATTTGAAAAATATTAGTTTAAATGTTAATTTAGTTAGTCCAACACAATCTGCCTTATTACTTGAAAAGCATAAAATACTTATTTAGAAAAGGGTAAACACCTCAGTATTGCTATTTAACTTAAATGTATTTGTGACTGAGGATTTAGGATAATGGATTTAGGATAACGGAGAATCAACAAAACAGCATTCTACCTTACATTCTGTTATGTAACTACATTATCTGATGTTTGATGAACTTAGAATTGTATGGCTGACTGTTGTCTGCTAAATGTACTGAAGAATACAAATGAATAACAAATAAATCTCACCATGTATATACTATTAGTTTCCCCGTACGGGCCACCATCTGTAACAATCTGACCAACTCAGCAGTTACTAATAAAATCCGATCACTAATTTGGTGAGAAAAAAAAAAAAACATGTGAGCACCAGAATACAACAGAGCTTGCACAAGTTAGCTTTTACTTATTATTCCCCAGAACAGACAACACCTTAACAGCATCAGCAACAGCAACAAAGCTAAAAAAAAACAAAGTAGAAAAGCAATTGAGTATAAGATCGGCTGCAAAAGTCATTAGGTGGGATAACTATATCAAAGTCCAGAGATTGTCTCTATTGAATCCAAAAAAAAAAGTCCAAAAATGTCAAACTGCCACCATAGTCCAAGCAAACAGTGTCCCAAAAATACTCAAAAATCAAAACAGGGCCCAGCAATGCAAAAAAACAAAAAAACAGCAATGATCCACCAGGCCTGTCTTCCCCAAACTTGATCCTCCAAGAAAATGGCTGCCACACTTCTCTTTCCTGTTCCCAAACCAGGGTTTATATTCAAAATAAGAGTCCCCCGTTGGAATGCCCAGGAAACATTTTCAAACAAAAAATATGGAAAACATAAAAATACATTTAACCTGATACCACAAGTCATCACACAATTTCACCCTATGTCAAATGAAATGATGTTTACAAATCTACAAATAGGCTAAAAACTGTATCATGAACTGTGTAAATATTGAGGCATTCAGTCACAAACCCTCTCATTTGAATATGCCACATTCAATGACACATATGGGAAAAAGGGACTGTACCTACTGTTATGACAGTGTAGTTATTTTAACTGTTCGGTGTTGTTGGATTTCTGCAGGGCGTCCACTCTTGTTTCATTTTATGATTTTGCTCTTCCTAAATAGGCAGATATATGCACGTGTTGGTTCTCATAACAATGAATTCAAAATTGGCTGTTTTGCTATTTAATTTCCAGATATAGACTGTCTGGACTGAAAATAGCAGCAGAGCAGAACTACAAGTGGTCCATCCAAGGGTGCCGTAAGGGGGTGGGGGATTAGGATGATTCCAAGGGCCCAAAGAGACAGGGGCCCACAAAGACTGAACCTATTAGGCTTACTTAAACATTCCTCATTGATTTTTTTCATTTATTAAATAATAATTAAAAACTATGAGTAGATACAGTGACAGCAGCACTGTCACCCCCTGTCACCCCTCCAATTACCAGACAACTCTCGTATTAACAGTCAGTGGTTCTGTTCAGTCACATTCTGTAAGTTTTATTTTTAATTCAATGTAGCTGCAGAAGACACAAATCAGGCTTTCAAAAACACCAGAAGAAACAGAAGAAGAAGAAGAACGTCTCAAGTTCATTATCTAATGCTGAATAAATGAGACTGTTTGTGGAGATTTTAGTGAGTTTCACCAATTCCTCTGACTTATACTAGTCAAAAACAGCTAATTATAGAGTTTTGCTTCACCAGAAAAGATGCAGTACTTTTGAGCAGCAACAAATAGTATGATTTTGGTGACTTGAGTACAGTGTATTGATATGCAGTTGTGTTTTGTTACATTCATGTTCAGTGCTGGGTGGCATGGTGGCGCGGTGGGTAGCGCTGTTGCCTCACAGCAAGAAGGGTTCAATTCCCTGGCCGGGCGACCAAGGTCCTTTCTGTGTGGAGTTTGCATGTTCTCCCCGTGTCTGTGTGGATTTCCTCCGGGTACTCCGGTTTCTTCCTACAGTCTTTAGAGTAAGGCCAATTGGACATGCTAAATTGCCCCTAGGTGTGACTGTGTGTATCTGTCTGTCTGCCCTGTGATGGAGTGGCGACCTGTCCAGGGTGTATCCTGCCTTCTGCCCGATGACAGCTGGGATAGGCACCCCCCGTGACCCAGAAGGATAAGTGGCTTAGAAGGTGTGTGTTCAGTGCTTGTTGCATGCTGGAGATGACAGCTTGGTGAAAGTAGTAGTTTGAATCGTTTAATTAACTAGAGGAAATGCAGAGTTTTGTGATAAAAGATGGGTGCACAAATACAGATGTGAATGCTGCAGTCATAACGTGGAATTCTCTGAAATTCTGCCCTATTCAAAATGCTTTCGTTTAAGGCAGCGTGCCTATAACCACATCATTATGGGGAGAGGGAACAACAAACATCTATGTTTCAGCTTGCTAAGATACTGTACTTGGTATTGTCATTAACTAAATTGCTAAATAATAGGTGGAACCATGATGTTATATTACTAGGAAATGACAATAACTTGAGCAGAAAATGTTGTTATTGTAACACCTCTAGTTCCTCAGCTAATGCTTAACGTTAACTAATGCTTTCATCATAGTGAATTAATGCATAGAGTAATAATTAACTTGTCAGGAAATAATGAAGAATATACATCAATAAAGAACTGAGCCATAGGAATGCCCATTGATAATGACACTTGCTAAGTAATAATATATTTCTTACATTTCAATGATTTTATATATTAATTAACATCCTTTTATAATGTGTAATATTAGTTCAGAAATTGTGTAGGATATAAAAATTACAGACTAATAACCAATAGAATAGTCTAAAGTAGAAGTATAGTAGAGGTAGAAGGAAAATCAATGTCCTGTATGCAACATCAGCTGTTTAATAAAATGTAGTAATACAACTTCTCGATCACAGTGTGCTATTGATTTTAGTCAGTAATGATGTCCCTGGAAGAAAAAAAATAGGATATATTTCCGAGCCACACTTGTTATAAAGGAATAAGCCTTTTCTGGGTGATACTTTTCTAACAAAGCATTACTACGCTGCCTATATAAGATGTTTCTTGAACATGTTTGAAGTGGTGTGTTTAGTTTTGTTAAGTCCTCAGATGAGAAAACTGCTTAATAACTTTGTTAACATGTCTGTCTGATGCATCTTTTTTTTTCTTGCCCCTCAAGATCTTTACACACTCCCATAAAAGATGCTATAGGAGCATGGTAACACTTTCTTTGAATAGCCTACAGTAGATACTGTGTTTATTTTCACCTGATCTATGACATGCATTTAAGTGAATATCTATTGCATTCATATGAGAGGCCATTTAGGCCAAAATCCTAACTAACCTCTAACACTCACTATCCAGCCTTCTCACACTCACCATCAAACCTCTCACACTCACCATCAAACCTCGCACACTATCAAACCCTCGCACACTTGCCATCAAACCTCTCACCCTCACTATCAAACCTCTCACACTCACTATCAAACCCTCTCACACTCGCCATCAAACTTCTCACACTATCAAACCCTCGCACACTTGCCATCAAACCTCTCACCCTCACTATCAAACCTCTCACACTCACTATCAAACCCTCTCACACTCACCATCAAACTTCACACACTATCAAACCCTCGCACACTTGCCATCAAACCTCTCACCCTCACTATCAAACCTCTCACACTCACTATCAAACCCTCTCACACTTGCCATCAAACTTCTCACACTATCAAACCCTCGCACACTTGCCATCAAACCTCTCACCCTCACTATCAAACCCTCTCACACTCGCCATCAAACTTCTCATGTTCACTATCAAACCCTATCACACTCGCCATCAAACCTCTCACACTCACTATCAAACCCTCTCACAATTGCCATCAAACCTCTCACCCTCACCATCAAACCTCTCACACTATCAAACCCTCGCACACTTGCCATGAAACCTCTCACCCTCACCATCAAACCTCTCACACTATCAAACCCTCGCACACTTGCCATCAAACCCTCTCACACTCACTATCAAACCCTCTCACACTCGCCATCAAACCTCTCATGTTCACTATCAAACCCTATCACACTCGCCATCAAACCTCTCACACTCACTATCAAACCCTCTCACACTTGCCATCAAACCTCTCACCCTCACTATCAAACCTCTCACACTCACTATGAAACCCTCTGACACTCACCATCAAACCTCTCACACTCACCATCAAACACTCTTACACTTGCAATCAAACCCTCTCACACAAACTACCAAACCCTCTCACACTCGCCATCAAACCTCTCACACTGACGATCAAACCTCTCACACTCACCTTAAAACCCTCTTACACTGGCCATCAAACCCGTCTCACACACACTATCAAACTCTCTCACACAAACTACCAAACTGTCTCACACTCACTATCAAACCCTCTCACACTCGCCATCAAACCTTTCACACTCACTATCAAACCTTCTCACTCTCACTATCAAACCTCTCACACTCACCTTCAAACCCTTGTACACTCACGATCAAACCCTCTCACACTCACCATCAAAACTCTCACACTCACCTTTAAACCCTCTTACACTCACCATCAAACCCTCTCACACTCACTTGCAAACTCTCTCACACAAACTAGCAAGCTTTCTCACACTCGCCATTAAACCTCTTACACTTACTATCAAACCCTCAAACACTCACCATCAAACCTCTCATGCTCACTATCAAACCTTCTCACACTCACCATGAAACCTCTCATGCTCACTATCAAACCTTCTCACACTCTCTATCAAACCTCTCACACTCACTATCAAACTCTTGCACACTCACCATGAAACCTCTCATGCTCACTATCAAACCTTCTCACACTCTCTATCAAACCTCTCAAACTTACTATCAAACTCTTGCA